TCTAGTTAAACATAGGAGTTGGAGAGACAATGCTCATTTCCATATCTCCACTGCAACTGTATATGCAGAAACTACTGATGTGAAAACAAAAGATAATACAAAGTGATACAAGTAGTAATTGTTGAAATTCAAGGCTTACTAACATTCTGTTGATGAGTGTCATTTGTTTGAGCTACACCATGGGTTAATTTGAATTATCTGTGACTAAGTAGCATGACGAATAGACACACTGGAGAGTTAGACTCTGCTGCAGATGTGATGATAAAAGGCTGCTTTCCAACAATTGGCACAAAGGCTTCAACAAAAAAAAGCCATCCAGAACAGTGAAATACAATCTATTTAACATACAAATTGAATTAAGAAGTGATATGTTTAACACACAATTAACTTGAGAAATTAGTGTAAGGAGAATGAAAAGAGGCTTAAAGATACAAATAAAAATTAATCCACAGTTGCACTCACTGGGATAAATTTAAGAGGACTAGCCATAATCTTAACAATCTGGCATCTGGAAGATGCCTTTTTAATACTACTCTAACCATATCATAGCCTTTGATAGTTAAGCATCTGGGCATTTGATGGAATATGACTGTTTTCCTTGAAGCCTTCCGGTCTTTGTCAGATGGAGGAAGAGAAACCAAAATAGAGCAGTAATACAATGTCTGTTACTCTGTAAGAGCTGTCAGCTGATTAGTAGTCCCTGAACTTTTCTTTGTGTAGACTCTTTCATGCTTAAATTTAGTGCTTGCTGCTTTATGCTGTGTATCTTCAGCCTGTTGGAAACAATTGGCAAATCGTCATCACTTGGTTTTATTTCCTGTGTTTAGCTTGGTTTTGTGGGAAGAGTTGAGCATCAAACTGACAGCATGTCACTGGAGCAGCTCAGTAAAGCTTGCAGTCTGAATGCTAATCTGTTCTTATGTACAGTGACTCTCAAAGTGTGCTCCATGTGGAAGAACATGCCCCTGAGGTTGTTCAGACTGGGGTTGTGACCTCTGTTTGCCTAAGGGACAAAAAAGACAACATTTCTTGGCTTTTCTTTGCCTTTTGTTTTCTCAGTCTGTAAAATAGAGATTGTAAATGCCTAGGTTCTTTTAATTGTGAACAATGCAACTAATGGTTTAAGGTATAGATTTAGTGAGTCCATATAGGGTGTTATTTATATTTAAAATGTCAGGTATCATCTGAAATATCTCGCTGACAAGACTTCTTGAGCCTTTTTTTTTTTTTTTGCTTCATGAGAAAAGTCATCATTGAAGTTTGGGGAGGTACATGCCATTTGGGTGGTGAGGAATACAGTCTGCAGATGACTTCTTACACATGGAAAAGACTTTTCTGTTTATGAGAGTTTTTTGTGATGCTTGCTCTGTTCAGGAGCTGCCAGTCCTGTTGCTGTTACTGTACAATAATACTACAGCATCTGATTATCTTCACACATCCTTGTGTTAGACTGAATTGAGAATGTGATTAGTAGCTCTAACACTGAGCTGCAGACAAAATGGGGCTGGTCTCTGCTGTGCTTCTGGTGTAGGCTCTAGCCTCTGCATTTTAAATTGTACAGAGTTGGGTTGGTTTAGGTTATGCTTTTTCAAAAAGCAGTCATGCTGTATCGGCAACCAGTCTGGCTCCTGCCATAGCTTATGGTATGGCTGGGCCTTTGATGTAGTTTAGGGGGTAGAGTGAAGGAGAGCAGGGATTATTTTGACATCATGGTGCAATCAGCTTAGCATGTAGCTTAACATCACAGCTAAGCTATATTGAAAGCTGGTGACTGAGCTGGTAACATAACACAGTGATCTTATATTAAAGAAGGGTCTGGTGGATGACGTAGATCCTCACCTAACTCTCACCCCTCAGCCCAACAAGTACCGGGTGCTGTTGCTTCAGGTTTTCAGTTTGCCTTTTTTTCCTCTTGCCAGAATAAAAGTTCTGGGTCCAGGTTCAGCCTAGATACTTCTCACAGTTGATGGCTGGCTTCCCTAAATGACCACTGAAAATCTACTTGAATTTATGCTGTTCCTTCCAGCCTCAGTATTGATGATGCTCCCCTGTCCTTAGGAGGTGGCCTTCTACCAACCGTGAAAAAGAGAGCTTGTCTTTTAGATGCTCCTGTTTGTGTTCTACTTAATTATATCTAGGTATATGTATTGGCTTCATTGTAAATGGGAAGTTCAATTTCCGAGGCTTTTAAGCAGAGCCACGGGGCAGGAGTTTTAAGGATCTTCTTTAACTATAGAAACATATCACATCTAGTTCAGTTACTCAAATAACAGCTGCTCTGCTAAGGAGCGCAGTGTGTGGTGAAAAAGTTCCAATGTTTTTATTGCTGCTTTCTAGAGCTAGAAATAGAATTTGGTTTGTGAGTGCAAGGAGAAATTGGTTCTTTGTATCCTTTAAATGTGTCTTGTATGTGGCAATTGGCAAAGGAGGGCTTTTGCAGCTGTAATATATGTGATCAGGCTTAGGGGAAAAAAGGTGTTTCTTGGCTTGGATTTGCTTAGACAACTCTGAGCTGACAACAACATATTTGATGCCAGAAAAAAATTGTCATTCATAAGCCAAACTTATCAGTGACACTGTCTAAAGGAGCATAATGGTGTGAGTGACTTCTGTAGGCAGCTCTCTAGAGGCTGCTGCACAGTCTTAGTTAAAATGAAAATAATGTTTCTTATGGCCTTATTCTAGCATCTTAACTTTCTACAGTGATCTAAATAGAGAAAGAAATTTAAGCGAATACAATTCGGAACTGGGGGGAAAAAAAGGCAACGCACACACACAATGAGAAACAAAACACCTTGTCACTTCTTGATGCAGAGAGACTCGTTTAGAGGCTGAAGACAAGCCCCTTGTGATTGAAGTCAACTTTCCAAACATTGGAGGAGCTTGAAAGGCTCATTCTGCTGCACAGGGGAGTGTGTGAAACTCAAGTATCTGAGCTGCAGCTTGCAGTATGAGCCAGGCCCTATACGGCTTCTTCTGAAATGTCTTCTAGGTGTTTGATCCTGTATTTTGTTTGGGATTACACACTTGGAAGTGGGGGGAAAAAATCAAGGTGTCACTCTAAAACTGACAACTACTTTTTGATGTAACTTACTGTGACAGGTACTAAATAGCTTCTTAATCTGACATCTTTTTAAAATAGCTTGTTACTTGCCACTTGTTTTCAGAAGACTGAATGGAAAGCCCTGTAAGAGGCATGCTTTTCAAAGACTGAAGAATTCATGAAGAATTTATTGAATTAGTTTTAATGTTCACTTGTAAAGCCTGAAAATTAACCTTCATGGTTCCTTTTCAGTAGTTTTGAAGTAGTTGAGATTGAGCAAGAGTGCATTTTGGGTTGTCATGAACTGATATTTGTTTGTGCAGACTGTTCTTCCATTGGGATTAAAAAATCCTGACAAAGTAATCCAGTTGAGATCATAATCTTGTTTATAGCTCTGACCTTGCATCACAGGAAATGCATCAGTCTTCTAGTGAGCACTGGTACACAAATAAAAGGTTTGAGTAAAGGTGGCTTTGGGCACCTCAGATGTTGTCTCAAAATTGGAAATTACAAATGAGGGTTTGGGGTTTTTAGTAGAGTTGCAGGCTGAAGTAGAGGAGGGAATTCTAGGCAAGTAGTCCCAGAAGCACGGATAAGTAAACCTGGGGCATGAGGAAAGGAAATGCAGATCCTGGCAGCATAGTGGAAGCTCTCTGTACCCGCAGGGCAGCTGGAAAAAGAAACTGCTTGTGGTGTCTGGAGGTGAAGATGCTTTCCCTGCACTGCAAGTGGGTGTGCAGCTATCAGGTGGGGTTTGGCTCACTGGAAAAACTCTCATCTGCTGACCTGAAGAAAAAAAGGGAGTCAGAGCTGTTAGAGCTCCTGTAATGTTTTCCCTGGCTAGGGCTTCACAGGGAAATGTGTCTGGAGTGGTTGCAACTTCTTGGCCAGAATGCTGGTGCCTGATGTAGGTGCTTAGAAATCCTTGGTAAACCTCAGACTGTGGTAGATCAGCTTCTGCCCATCTTTGCTTAATGCTGCTCTGGTACAGAGATGAACTGAGATACACTGCCCTATTATTACTCTTTGTTCTGATTATTGACTTGGATAACCTAGGGATGTGGGCTATTTCATTGACTCCAAACGTGTTACTTCGAATGAGTTTTGTTTCCATTCACAGCTGCATTTTCAGATGTGGAGGGGTTTTTAGTAAGCACAAATTTAGTACTGAAAATGCACTTTCTCTGCCAAGGTGCAGGTTGTGTTAGAGGAGCTTTCTCAGACACTCATTATTTTGTCAGGGACTGGTAATTTTGATGGTAGTCATCTTTTTAGCTGAATTTTATATTCACTGTACTTAGTCATTCAAAGGAACTGCCAGGAAAAGACACATTCATGAACTTGTTTAATGTGAGCTTGGTATCTAACCACACAGTAACAATGTTCCACCTCTTAAGTTCATCCAGTTGCTCGCTATTCAAACTACTGATCCTTTATTTACCATTTTGGGGCTTTAATGAGGTGTACTGGTAATACATGTGCATGTGCAGAGAGATCCCTCTGTCTATCACATGAATAAAGATACCTGTTGCCAGAGCTTTGGTGTGTTAGGTCATGATTGGATTTAGCAGGTAGAATGAAAATAAAGCCTCAGATTCTGACAATGAAGCTGGAGTCTTATCTCAAACTAGTGGTATACGAGGCTCTGAGAGTGCTTTGGAGGTAGATTGATAATTTGTAAATTAAGGTGGGTTAAAATGAAATTTACCTTTGCCACTGATGTTTGTCTTATGATCATGATTTTCAGAGCATATTGAAATTGGGAGCTTGTACAAGAAAAGAGTTCAAACTGAGAACCTTAAGCATAGCTCTTGTTGTGCAGTTAGGGAAAATTAAGGTGTATAGGACAGTCTGAAAGACTCACACTTAAGCATAACAACTCTTCTGTGATCCTGCTATGCAGGTGGGACTTTTCAGTTTACTATGAACATGGACATGCGTGTGTTGGGGGAGTAAGTTTTCTAAAATTAAATATTCTTGGCTTTTTTTTCCTCCCCTAGGGTCACATGATTCTTTCAGCTACTGGGTTGATGAGAAATCTCCTGTGGGACCAGACCAAGCCACAGCTATCAAACGTCTGGCCAGAATTTCTTTGGTTAAAAAGATCATGAAGAAATGGTCAGTGACTCAAAACCTGACTTTCAAAGAGCAGCTGGAAAGTGGGATCCGCTACTTTGATCTTCGTGTATCTTCCAAACCTGGAGAAATAGGACAAGAGATTTATTTCATACATGGCTTGTTTGGCATCAAAGTATGGGACGGGCTAACGGAAATTAACACCTTTCTTGAGCAGCACCCCAAGGAAGTAATCTTCTTAGATTTCAATCACTTCTACGCTATGGATGACAGTCATCACTTCTTCTTGATCAACCGGATCCGCTCAGCATTTGGATCCAAACTTTGTTCCGTTGAATGTGTAGAATATGTGACTTTACAATACATGTGGGAGAAGAAACACCAGGTAGGGAACGGCTTTGTAATGTTTTTTCAAACCCAAAAGGTTATGATTTAAATAGATAAGTTGAGTGTCATTCTCACTCGGAGATACTGGGCCAAGGATGCTGCTGACAGTTGTATTTGAAGTCTTCTAGGACCTTCTTTATGTAGTGTTCATGTTTCCCTTCACTTACGCATGGCTGTGTAGCCCCTCCGTCTAGGGTCTGTCTTCCAAGCATGTTAATTAAATGATAGCATCCTTGAAACTTGTGCTTCTTACGAATGGCTTTATCTTCTGGAAGAGCATCTTTTGCTGATTTGTGTTGGTAAGGATTTGATAAACTGTCACTTTTTAGGCCAGTGTGAAGCATATAAGCTTTGAGGTGGCTAAGATAAGATACAGAATCTCTTAGCTCCTTTGCAGCCATCCAGATATGTAGCAGCAAGGTTAAGTGCCTCTTCTCTGTGGTAACAGCTCCCATGCATACATACAAATTGAGAACAGGGTTTCAGCAATGGCACATAGCTCTTAAACTGCTAAAATACATGAAACTTTGGGGAATTTTTCTCAACTGATGCTGTCAGTGCCAGGGTCCAAAATAAATCATCTAAGTTTGGGTGTGTCATGGTTTAGACCCAGCTGGTAACTAAGCACCACACAGCCTTTTGCTCAGCGTGTCCCTCTCCTATCTCCCCCTGGGTGGGATGGGGAGGAGAATCGAGAGAATGTGAACCACATGGGTTGGGATAAGAACAGTTTAAAAACTAAAAGTAAAATACAGTGATAATGGAAAGAATACCAACAATATCATTAATGATGATAATAGGAAACGAGAAGAGAAGAAATGAAAACTCAGAAAACCCAAGAGGTGCACAGTACAATTGCTTACCACCTGCTAACCAATACCCACCTCACCTGAGCAGTGATCGGTCTGTTCTGGGTAACTCCCCCAGTTTATGTACTGTGCATGACATGCTGTGGTATGGAATACCCCTTTGGCTAGTTTGGGTCAGGTGTCTTCTCTCTGGTCCCTCCTGGCTTCTTGTGCCCCTCCTCACCGGCAGAGCATGAGACTGAAAAGTTTTTGATCGGGGTAAGTGCTACTGAGCAACAACTAAAGCATCAGTGTGTTATCAGCGTTGTTCTCGAACTGAAGCTAAAACACCATGCTGCACCAGCTACTGGGAAGAAAAATAACTGTTGTAGCTGAAAGCAGGACAGGGTGTTAATAAAAGGTGTTGCATCTTGAAGCTATCTTCTTAAAGGGAACCACCTTACAAAGTGTAAAATACTGACTTTTCATTTAGAGAAGAATTTGCAGACAGCTAAGCCTGACTTTGGCATCTCATGCAGTAAGTGTGAGTGGAATGTCGTTAGGCCAGTCAGCCTGGTACTCTTAAGCCACGTAAGGGAAGTTATGCAGAAAAATAGCAAGACTGCTAAAAATCCTTGAGTTCCAGTATGGATGCAATAGTCTATGACAGTCCTCTGAAATGCTTTTAAGCTGAATTCTTTGAATGGCATTTCAGTATATTCTTGGCAACTGTTTCATGTTAAACTGATGACCTATAAAGTGTGAAGCAATCTTGTCTTCATAGCTAACCAAACTGATCTCCATTTTCTTTGTTGGCAATAGTGCAACAAAGCTACTGATGCTCATGATTCAGGAGCAGCTTCTTTTTTTGCTTGGTCCTTTTCTCACTGCTATGCTAGCTGCTGCAGTACTTTATAAGCATAAATCAATGCAACATCCTGGTTTAATATAAATTATGTAGTTGTGACATTTTGCTTATTTCTCCTTTTTCTTTGTTCTAGGTTCTTATATTCTACCACTACCCTTTGTGTCAGGAATACCCCTTCTTATGGCCAGGGAATAAAATGCCAGCACCATGGGCTAATACAACCAATGTGCACAAACTGTTACAGTTCCTGGAGACCACTCTTGAGGAACGAAGTCGCTACGGGACTTTTCATGTTTCTCAAGCAATTCTCACACCTCGAGTGAGAACTATTGCACGGAATCTAATTCGTGGTCTGAAGAACACACTTGTTCACAGGTAAGGACTTGTCTTGCTTTCTCAGTTCTTTACTTACCCTATTTCCTGTTGAAAGAGGCACTGAATAAGAAAAAAACTATTAAATGTTTGCATAGCAGACTTGATGAAAGCATGCAGTTTTGCTTTGTTATTGCTAGAGATGTTTGCAGTAATTATAATTACTGAAGAAAATAACAGTGTTTATATGTAACTGTGTTTCCTCGTAATTGGAGCTCTTCCTGAATGTGGTATGATTTCATAAAACATGGGCTGGACCTGTTGTTTCAAACCAGGAAGTCATTCCAAATTCCACGAACTTGAATTTGGTGGGGGGAACCTTGTGCCATAGAGGAAGAATGCCTATCTGTGGGCTCAGTTTTGCATTTGTGTGTACTAGTCTATGTCAGTAACTGCAGGAATGGCCAAAGATGTATGACCTGGGGCTATTTTATTTTGGCGCTTTTTACCAAAAACTAGATTAACAATTTGACTTTTTTTGTACCACTGACTGTTGTACAATTAATTTGCCCATGAGTAAGACTGTTAAAGGGTTTTGTTCTGGGTAGCACAGAGTGCCAGTGGTTTTTAGTAGTGTTAACAGCATGACCAGTACAGGTTCCATGTGACCTTATTTTATGTGTTATCAACATATAGCCTGTTTGCTAAAAATTGCCAGAACTGATAAGTTCCTGCTGGGATCTGGTCTTCTGGCTCACTGTGTAATATTGCCTGGTCACTAACAGTTTATTGCTCCATAATGATAGTAAGTTCTAAATTACACTTGTATAGGTCTAATTTGATTGTCAACTTAGCTTAATATTAATCAGTGAGATAAACACACATCCAGTTCATGTTCCATTTGAGAGAATCGTTGAACACTTTAGAAGTAATTAAGTATAATTGTTCTGATGCTAAAGTCAATACAAGTTAGTTTCTTAAAAATCCTTTCTAAAAATAGCAAATGTTGTGCTTTTACAGTCACAAAAGTTGTTAAGGGAAGTAAGGAAATTCCAGGTGAAGTATAAGTCGTGAAGTTTTCAGTTTCTTTCCTGTTTACAGACATTAATCTAGCAAAAGATAATTAAATCCAAATGATGTATCGAGGTCCCCAGGCTGGCTTGCGCTTTGCCTGTGCGGTCAGCACTGGACGCTAGATGGTGCTCAGCTGCTTTGAGACTGATTTTAGTGTCACAAGTTGCTCAGATGTAAATGTGCTTGGTGGGGATACTGAACAGAAAAACAGGGATGTAACTTATGACTGCGCACTGTACAGTAAATGTACTTGTCTCGTGGTTAAAGATGGTACCGAATTTCTGTTTTTAAACTAGTAAAGGATCGTCCAATTTCATGGAATGGGTGAGCAGTGACTCCTAGCACAGATCTGGGCTGCAAGCCACTGATAAGCTGGAAAGCTGCTTTTACTCTATCCCTTCCCCACAGCTCCATCGTTACCACTTATTTGAAAGTAAACTGTGAAGATTTAAAATAGATGCTGCAGTTTGCTAAAGCATGATTGCTCGTATACATTTACACATGTTAGCTGATCCGTATGTGTAAATCTGTCTTTGCAGTTCTCTGTAGATGTCTGCCTTCTCATGTGGAAATCTTGCCTGGAATATGAATATTTAGATGTTCTTGAGCTCTTCCTAAAGGAGAGATGTGCAACATTCACACTTAAATGGCTAAAGTCTGGTGTGGCCCTTGACAGGGACAGTAATTATACCTTCATTCAAGTTCTCTCTTCCATTCCCCACCCCCCCTCCCCACCTGGAACAAGAGCTATGGGTATTTTTTAGGGTTGTTTTGGTGGTTTTTTTTTCGTCCCCATCCTTTTAGCTAATTCACTTGCCTACTGCCTTATTGTAAAATTTTGCATGCAATTATGGCAATAATTTAAATCTAATGTATTTAGTCACTTTTCTCTATGCTGAAAACCCTGGTGTCTACCTGCTAAAGTGCAAAAAAATGAAAGCTTGTACAGACTCCTGACTTGCACTCTGTCCAAGAAATTGCTTGGGAATTCTACTGTGGGGAGAAACTTCAACTCCATTTAATCCTATTTCAGATACGCCTCACCTTTTTCTGATTAGTTATGTATGGTGGGATGTTCAACCCCTGTAGAGCCAAAGGCTTGATTCTGGTTTGGTTTCCCTGATCCAGTTGCCCTGTGTGGGTCTGTGTGGGGCTGGAGGTTGAAAGGAGTTTGGTAGAAATGCAGCATGCTGCCTCCAATGACTTCTTTCCTGCCCACCCTAAGGCAGGAATCCTTTTCTGCCCACATCTTGGGCAGGTATAGCCTTGCTTTGTACTACACCAAAGTCTGCTGTGAAATTAAGCTTTTGATTCAACATATACTTGGGTAGAAACAAACCAGGATGGTGGGAATTGTGGTGCAGCATTAAATCCTGAAGCATGGTCTGCTCAGTGCCTATTGAGTTCACAAATATTATTTGATTGCATGGTAGTTTGGATTGATGACTGACCAATGATTTCTATTTGGTAGCTAATGATTGCGTGCTATGTTAAGAACTCTTCTTGTCAGCCAGTTGTATTTTGGGTGGCAGTCCAGGATCTGATCACAAATGTGAGATTAAGCCAATTTGTAAACAACATGTATTTGAACGAAGTAGAGTATGTATAGGGAAGAGCCTCTTTTACAAATGTTTAATTTTCTCTATTTCAATTTTTTTTTTTTAGGAACCTACCCATGATTTTGAATTGGGTGAAAGCACAGAAGCCAGGCATTAAGGGTGTTAACATAATTACATCAGACTTTGTGGAGCTGGTTGATTTTGCTGCTACAGTTATTGCATTAAACGACCTCCTTTTAGAAGAAGATGAATTTGCAACTAAATCCTGATTGCTCCGTCCTACTTGTGCTCCTCAGTGGACGTCTTCAAACTATGCTAATTTTTGTCTATTAAATGACATCTGTTGCAATCTGTTCATTTAAAAGAAGTTTTCTAGAGGAAACATGGATAAGCATCACGTTACAGCAGGCTCCGTTCTCTCAGCCATGTGTGGGTCTGAGTGGAACAGAAGTTACCGGGTGCTGCTGCGTGTGTGTCTGTGGCTACGTGTTTAAGTTGTACACACATCTGCTGCAGCATCTACCTGACAACAAGAGGCTGGCCTCTGGGGCAGATGTAACTGATGTTGTGTGTATCCTGGGTGACTGGACTCAGCGTGCCCTGGTGTGTGCATCCTCCTTATTTCTCCAGACCAGGGCTCAACCAAGGATTGCTGCTGATCCCTTAGCAGTGGTGTGACCAGCCTGGCTGACATGGTATTGTTCTTGGGCCACTTCAGGCATAGCTGAGCTCAGCTGGAGGTTGCTGCTGTATTCATTGTGCTGTTTTAGACACTACCTCTGACTTACTTGAAGAAACAGTATTGCCATTTTTCAGGGGGAAGCTGTTGTACTGTGTTGAATATCCAAACTGTCCCTTGGGCCTGAGAGGCAAAGGCTTGGCAAGCTCTGCCTGTTCAGACTCTAAATTCTTCATCTGGACCTCTTTAATTTACTTTAATACTTCAATGTATTTATTGCAACTATGTTGAAGTGTGTTTCTTTTGGCATTAATGTGAAGAATATTTCAGTTTTCACATTATGAGGATTATAACTTGCAAGTCTGAATTCCTGTTGAGACAATTGAGAAACCGCAGCACAATCTTTCTTATTTGCTTGCTGGTTATCTGATTAATCTTTTGGTTTTTCCATCCATCGAGTTTTCTTTGGGGAAAGTCTCTCACCCAGCCAGCCTTCCTCTAGAAGGAGGAGGTGGGCTAAGTGGGAGTTTGCTTGGTATGTGGAGAATTGGTGCTGACAGGGGCTGCTCAAAACCCCAAATATTAATCTCTGCTACTTGCAATGTGACAGTGAATTCTGGAATTGGACCCAAAAGTTGTGCTTGTAGTCACAGAGCTACAGCTATGGGGGAGAAATCTCCCCAGCCTGCAGCCACTTGTGACAAAGTGATAGTCACACAAGCACAGGCAGGCATCAGTGCTGTAGTCATACTCATTTTGTGATGAGTCACAACAAAACCATGACCATGTGTGCTTGAGCCAGTGCAGTCATCTGTTGTACTTATCAGCACTTAAATAACTAGGAAATAGCAGTCCTACAGTCTGCTTTATCTTTGGTTAAAAAAAAACAACACAACAAAACAACAACATACAAATGACTGATTAGCAGATACTTCTCTGCTCAGTCATCTTCCTAAAGCAATTGCTGGTGCACTAATTATTGAGTGATTATGAAATTGTATTAATCTGTAATGGGATGGATTGTCTTCATAGATATTTTCCTCAAAAGAAGAGTGAATCTCCAGATTTATTATTTGTTTTGTTATTGTATCCTGTATCTGCTGTTGTGGTCTGACAGCTCAGAAAAATCCAATACCTCTCTGCTTGTCACAAACCCTGAGCTCAGGACAAGATTATCTAGAAGTTCTCAAACCTTCCATGTGAACCTTAGCCGAGTCTGAGCAGATTGTAATCTGATTTATCTGTTGGTTGCATGGTTTTCATTAGAGTTCCTTGAATTTTTTAAACTGAATCCTTTTACTAAAAGAGTTGGGAGGGAGTGTCTGTCTCTCAAGCTGTCTTTCTCCTTTCCTTTTGTGTTTCAGTGACAGGGGGCAAGTAATGAAAATGAGGTTTTGGGAACTAAAGCTCAAACTTCCAGTTTAAAACTTCCTTTGAAAACCCCAGCAGAAAGTTTGGGTTTGTTGTTTTTTCTCATGAATGAAAGTGCTGGAACCTGTTTTGAGCAGCACTATTTTGTTTGCAAAGTTATTTAAAATACCTGGATTTTCCTTAGATGAATTTTGTGTTAACCTACTTTTCTCATGGTCCCAACTGAAACTCCATGATGGTGTTAAATGTATGTGTTTGGCTTCAGTGGTCTTTTAGCTGCAAATTGTCTTAGTGCTCAGAAGTTGGAAAAATATGGCTTGAATGCTGATGAGGCAGAAATTGTAGGTTTTCAAGGTTTCCAGCAGAACTGAAGGACAAGGCAAGAAGGTGAAGTGAGTATGATGTTCGCATTCAACCTTTAACGTATTTTGTACTGTATATATCTACCTCAAAAGAGATTTATCAGGCTTAACCAATATTTATATTGTGGGTGCACAGTAATGACTGTGATGTTAGATCTTCTATTGTATTTATTTGAATAGAGATGTGATGGTTGTAACTCAGGGCTTTAGTTAGGTATTTTTAAGTGCAAACTCAGAAGTTTATCGTGTTTGCTGTTAGCTCTTGCCTCTTGAAATAGGACAAAGGCATGCTAGGTGTTAAAGAGTGTTAGCAGAGGGAGAAGAAATGGAAAATAGCTTTAGTATTAATGGGGGGGGGGGAAAAAAAAAACATTTGTGTTGAGGGGGGGGGGGGGGAACACCAAACCTAACAGACTTCTCTGAGTTTGTCCTGTCTGAAGAAGCTTGTGTGTCATTTCAGAGCAGTGCATGGTGTTAGGTCTGTGAGCAACCCGACAGCTTCCGTAGTGAGTTGAGCAATTGGCAAATACAATTGACATCCACAGGCTATGTCCTGTTGCAACTCTGGGCAACATTAATGCTTATGTTTAAAATTGGTTTTGGCGTAGTCCTAAACCATCGTAAGCAATGTGAACTACCTTCTGTTACGCATTATAGCCCATAATAAAGCAACCTGTATAATAAGCTTATCTCTGACACAGGGAATCTGGGTATGTTGTGGTGCTCACACTTGGCAAAATGGAGCTTGTCTGGACTTTGGGCTGTGGACTTCTGGCATTATAAAAATAAAAGTTGAGCTGGGCAGGAAGGGAGGATCAAGGAAGTAGGGCAGTAGTTTGCATCCAGTGCCCACATTGAAGGTGTGGCAGTGTTTAGCTAGGTTCTGGGCAGCAGAGTGGAGCAGGTCTGGCAGGTGAGTGGAAGTGGCTGCAGCTTGCACTGAAATACTGCCTGGAAGTCTGGCCTCATTGCGGGGTGTAGCCGAGTAGCATATGGAGTAACTAACAACCTGCAACATCATGCATGTGTGAGCTTGAGGAAAATAAAGATTGGCATGATTGCAGGAGAAGGCTGGGGGGTCCTTGTTGATATAGACTGGCACCTGTTGAATACAGTGTTTTAGTCTTGCTTTTATATTCCTAAAGCACTACAGTTCACTTTTAAACACTCCAGGTGGAAAAATTCCCCAGAAGGTTTGTTCTGAGGACTTGACCATCCCGCAGGTGCTGGAAGAGGAAAAGCCGGGAAACTAGTAGCTGCTTGAGACTAAGTACTTACTTGAATTGCATGTTCTGGAGTAATTACTTGTATGGTTTATTATTACAGATTCATGTTATTTATAATTGTTTTATGACTGTTGTTTCTTTCTAATGTGCAATCACTGAATATGGATTTATATTCAGCATACACTGGTGGTATGTCTGTTCTGGTACTGATTTCTGACGTGCAATTCAAGGGCATACATCTCTGTATATATCCCTGATGGGAAGCAGTACAGAGAAGGTTGTTAGGAAGCATATATGAGTTTTTAGTATCTTACCCTGTGCTTCTAAGTGAAAACAAAGAGGAATTATTGCTAGATTTTTGTAGACTCTCAATCTCTCAGCTTCTTATTTGGGAACTACTGTCCTAACAGATCTAACAACTGTGGAGCTTGGAGTTACAATGTTTTGGGTTTTGAGAACAGAAGACAGTTTCCTGATGTTTAGTTATAGCTCAAGAAGTGAAGGGAAGCCAACTTGTGTGTGCTTTGCTGTAAGAGTGAGGATCCCACTGGAGACAAGACAAGTGCTGGCAAGGTAAGTTTCCAGGTCGGTGAGAGTTGTCAGGCTTGGAATCCTCAGAGCAGAAATGCTGACTGCAAAAAGACTCTTTGGAGAGGAAAGGAATAATGGGAAAAGGGTGTCCTTGCTCCTAACACATGCTGGTTTCTGCTATGTTGGTACCGAGTTAATACATTGGAGTTCAGAAAGCACCTGTGCTGTAGAACTGAAGAAGCACTTGTGAGCAGGGATTTTGGCTCAAATGGATGTAGGGCATCTGCCAAGATGCTTATCCATTGTTCTCGTCTGGCTTAGCCTTTGGAAATATTTTCTGTGTATACCTGTCTCAGGTGTTGGAGTTCATTGCTGTATCACCTAGCAGGGTTTAGGACTTCTGTAGATACATGATTTGTGGCCATTTTGATTTAAAGTTGGGTAACCCTTAGAAGTCTGCCAGAACATGTGTGATTTGAGGCTTACTTGAATATGTAATATTTAATACAATGTCCCCATGCAGTTTTAGTAGAACGTTCATCTAAAGTTGAGCATATTGTTACCAATCTCTAATACACAAATTCTTTGGTCAGAGACCACTGATTAGGGCAAAACTTCAGGTAGGTTTTCAGTGGTTGCTTAAGCACAGGGAAATTGTCTAGTATAAGGAACAGAACTGACCCAAAACTTGATTCAAAAATCAAATCAGTCAAGATTTAGTCCTTTCAAGCAGAGAAAAGGAGACTTTTTGTCCTTTTGCCTGACAAATTCTTATTCCAGGGTTGGTTTTTGACTCAACAGGTGGGTAGAGGAGCCAGAGCATATGCTGAAGAGCAAAGAAATTTTATGCTAAGGGACATGTATGTTGGGCTGACTGTGATGATGAAAAACCCCATAAGCTGTTTGGTTTACATTGTTAAATCAGTATTAAAAAAATAAATTCAAAATCAGTCCTGCGAATTCAGTTGTCTGTCTTGTTAAAGTGTGTGTACTTCTGTCAGCATATTTATTTCTCTGCAAGCCTTATCACGTAAACAGGCTTTAACTTTTAATTGTAGGGACTGGAATGTCAGCTTTAGAAGTGTTTGCTTGAATCTAAT